CAGTCAGTCAGTGTGTCTGTATGAACCCCTCTCTCTGTGCAGTGTTAATGTACTGGAGTGTCCAGTGATGCCCAGGCTCTCAGTACCTTTCTCGCAGGCCAGGTGGGCCAGCAGCGAGATGGTCTGGATGGTCTTGCCCAGCCCCATCTCATCCGCCAAGATGCCGTTGAGTTTCTTCTCGTACATGGTGACCAGCCAGTCCAGCCCGATGTGCTGGTACTCCCGCAGCGTGCCATAGAGCAGGAATGGGATAGGCGTCTTCACCTGGCGGAGAGGAGGGAGAGAGGGTGAGCCGGGAGAAGGGCTCCAGATGGACAGGCGCTGCTCAGGCCCGGCTCGCGCACGGCCCAGGTACCTGGGTGGTGGCCAGCGTGTAACCCTTTGGCTGCAGGCTCTCGGCTGTGGCGGCGATGTCGCTGATCTCCTTCTTGGGCCGGGGAGCAATGGGGACCTTCTCTCCCGGGGTGGGGGGGCTGCGGTCCCCCTTTAGCAGGAACGCCACCCCCACGTCACCCCCGGGACTCGAGCGCCCGTCATCGCTATCCAGGGCTGCAGAGGAGTCTGGGGCAAACCGAAGGGGAGACAGAGACCCCTTGGTCAGTCAGGCCAGTGAAGGATCCCTCTATATTCTGAGCGTGACCCCTACTTAAGCACCAGACTCTCGCCCAAGGAGAATCGATATCTTATCACACCCGCCTCTCATCCGGCGGGGAGGGGGAGGGGGCCGGAGCTCCGCTCCTCTCTTCCCGGAGGTAGCCTGAACGCAGGAGTCAGCACACACCCGCTCCCTGTCCTGTGTGCGCTCGTGGGGTTTGGAGCTGCACATCAAGACCGTGACACACACCTGGCTCTTCCACATCAGGCGGGTTTTTAACACAAATAGCTCGTGGTTCTAAACTTGTGTGGGAAAAATGATGGGATGCTCCGACAGACTGTACGTCATTTTTGCAATGTGCTCCAGGTCCAGTTACCTGAACAGTGACTCTCCTCTTCCTCACTCTGGTCTCCCTCCGCTGCCTCACTCTGATCTTCCTCCTCTCGCTCCCCAGTATTCACGGACTCTTCATCTGCTTCCTCTTGCTCCTCCTCAGAGCTGGAGGATGACTCCGAAGCTGAGGGCACTTCAAAATCTTCAGCATAGGCACCACTATAGCGCTCCATCAGCTCCTCTATACTCATTTCACCTGATAGAGAGGGGATTAATACAGACACACTGACTGAACACTCCAGTACATTAACACTGCACTGAGAGAGAGGGGTTAATACAGACACACTGACTGACTGGACACTATAGTACATTAACACTGCAGTAACAAGGGGTGGTGTTACCTTCTCTGGCCAGGTCACTGAGCTCCTGTGAATGATCAGCATCCCCCTCAACTACTTCCTGAGCTGCTATGGTGTCCTCCTCATCCTCCGCTGGACAGAAAGAAAGGGATTAATGCACAGGTACAGAATCACCATTTAATTACAACAGCGCAGAGTGCAGTACTACTGAGTGCACAGCAGAAACCATAATATACCACTCACCTTCGTCCTCGTTGGCAGCGAACTCATCATCCTCATCCTCCTCTGGGGCACGAGAGGTGCTGTGGGAGCCCTCACCCTCTGAAGAGTCCTGATTGAGTGAGAGAGCAGGCAGTCAAGCAAAGGCTTACCGCTTGTGCTCACGTTCCTGTCACCATAATGAGTGAGCAGCCTGAGGGCACAGCCTGCACAGACCCGCGCAGCTCCTGCCACCCCCCGTCTCCCACCGTCTCCCACCTGCACAGACCCGCGCACCTCCTGCCTCCCCCCGTCTCCCACCTGCGCAGACCCGCGCAGCTCCTGCCTCCCCCAACCTGCACAGCCTGCGCAGACCCGCGCAGCTCCTGCCT